TTGTGTGTGTGCCTTATTTATAACATCTTTACAAAGAATCAAAAATTCTCACTGCCATCAAGTTGGACCCGACACATAGCAACCCCTCCTTGGGTTTCCAAGGAAGTATTGCTACGGAAGTAGATTGCCCAACCTTCCTTCTGAGGAGTGGCTGGTGGGTTTGAACTCCCAGCCTTCTGGTTAGCAGTCAAGTGCCTTAGGCACTATCCCACCAGAGCTCCTTTAGAAGGACTAGCTATAGAAAGTTTGCTGGAGAGTTCTTCTCCTTGCTGGCAGCTCAGACACATAGTAAAACATGTAACAGTAAGCTTCTGGGCTTTGAACTTTCACAATTCCTTTATTTCACTTAGTGTGTGCTTTATTTAGTTCTTCTTTTTAAAAATAGATTCTGAAAGATTTCTAACTATGTATGCTTTATGTAAGATACTCCCTGAGAAGTAGTAGATGAAAAGTAACATTTAGTGTAAACAACCCAAATGTCCATCAGTGGATGAATGGACAAACATTATGATATGCACACACACACACACACACACAAGGAATATTATTCAGCCATAAAAAGGAATGAAGTACTGATATGTGCTGCAATGTGTGTGAACCTTGAAAACATTAGCTAAGTGAAAGAAGCCACACACAAAATGTCACATATTGTATGATTCTAATTATATGAAATACCCAGAACAGGTAAATCCATAGAGACAGGTGGTTGTCGGGCTGAGGGGAGGGAGATTATGGAGCAGCTGTTTAATGGGTACAAGATTTCTTTTTGGGGTAAAAATGTTTGGGGACTAGATATAGTTGGTGGTTGCATAGCATTGTGAATGTATGAATTACAACTGACTTGTTCACTGCCCCACAGAAGAAAGGGCTAAAAGCCACTGACAGCTCTGTGGACCACAACTCTACTCTGACACACATGGAATGGCAATGAGTTGGAATGGGCTCGAGAGCAGTTTTTTTTTTTTTCTTTTTAACACATATAATATAAACACATATATAATAAGATAGCTTTAGAAATGATGTGAATGATAATATAAAGGTATCTCAAGTCAGTATGACTTGGATGCCAGTGTGAATTAGTATTGCAGTAAGACTGAGTAAAATTTCAATGCGTGTACTGTCTTCAGTTTTTGGCACATGAAAGGGTCACTGAAATTTCAACTCAGTGCATTCCCACATCCAGAACCACATACGTCTAGCAGATTCACCACTCGGGAACCTAGTCCTAACGTAAGCAAGCACAGTCATTTCTGAGCAGAGCAAATGGATTCCACGGAGTTTATATTCTAAAGGTCACAATCCTCCCTGTAGGGGAACCTTCCACTTCTTCCCTTCTCCCCAGGGCAATGTACCACTTGTGAGGATAAAGATTTTTACTTTGTTGGCCTGCCTCCGTATTGTATAAGAACGTCTGATTTTAAGCGCTAAGCAGAGCATGTGTTGTGGGAGTCACTGGGACTCTGCCTGTCTCTCATTGTTGCACCTCCTAGTCAAACTCTCTCCTTTTTCTTGAACTCTGGTGTAGACTGTTGGCTGTGCCACTCCAGGGCCATACCCTGGTATTTTTCAGGTTACTCCCTTACTCTTATTTTCACATGCTACAAGCTTAGCTATCGGGTTTCTACCTCCACAGTAGATGACAAAAGCAGCACTTTAGAAGGAATAATGTTTACTACCAGAAGTGACTGATAACAGACCAAGAATAAGGGGAGGTAACAGGAAGCTTCCAAAGCAGGCAGAGCAACAGCAGTGACCGGCAGCAGTAAGCCTCCAGCTCACCCGGAGGCTCTGAGAGCATCATGGTATCACAGCAAAATATAGTAATTCATGTTGTTAAGTGTGAAAGGCTAGTTATAAATGGAATATTCTCATTTAAAAAGATAGAGGAATCAGGTATTTATGTTTAGATATGATATATTTTAGATTTCTATCCAAAGTGAGTATGTATGTATTTTAATATGTTGGTAGTTAACTGGACAAATAATCAAACTATTTATTTAGAAAAGTCAGATATTCAGTACAGTATGTTCCCTGGACATTTAAGATAACTGAGGTTGTATAATAATGATATAAGTGTGAAAAACACTGTGATGACTTTAAAAACCCTAAGTACTGGATTTTGTTAGAGAAATTAGAAATAAGGAGCACTTCTGTCTGTAGTTTCAGAAGCAGATCCCGAGCATCTATTCGAGTGTCACACATACATTCTTGTATTCTCCCCCATTTGCTGACAAACCTTAGTATCTTTCCCAAACGTATTTAACAACATAACTTTTTCATCCAACTCTTAGGTTTTTAGTTGCATGATTTTGAATTATAATTTAAAATGGTTTCATGTTATTTCATAAGCAAATAGGCCCAAGATTGGTTTGAAATGTAGTCATTTTGAGTGAGAGAAGTTTTATATAACTGAGTTCTGCACCTTGATGGTCCATCCACCTTGTGCTGAAGCAAGGACTGTTACGGCATGTGTCATAATAGCCCATGTGGCCTCTGAGGGGTTTTGGGAAAGCCAAAGCATTTCCTTGCATATATTTCTTCTAAGTAATATTCTTAGTAAGAAAACCCAGAGGCCTGGACTCTGTGACCAGAGTAAAGATAGGAGATCTTCATATCAGAAAAAGTTCCTATTTCAGATGCATTTCCTAAAAAACTCATTTCATAAAAAACAAGCCCAAGAACAGTCTGAAATGTAGACGTTTTGAGGTTTGTATAAGAAGGAAGCTTCAGGAACCACTGAGACTATGGCCCCTAGCTGCCCTTCAGGTCTGTAATTGAACCCACACCTGTGGTTGCCAGCCAAACAATGTACAGGCATGTGAGTTAAACATTTACCTCAAGTAGACACACGCCCTGGAGAGAACAATCATGGGAGAAGGAAGGGCTGCTTATGCACAGGGAGACAGCTCAGGGGGTAGGAGAGTATGAAGGGATGGACACTGGAAAGTGGTAACTATAGGGAGGAAGTGGGAGGGGAGCTGTTGCATTGTGGTAAACTGTGGTCAATGACATGAGACAAAGTATATGTGAACTGCTGTATGGAAAGTGAATTTGCTCTGTAAATCTTCACCCAAATCACAATAAATAAATAAACAAATAAATAAAATACAAAAACTATACATAAAAAAAAAAAAAGAAGAAGAAGGAAGCTTCATCTTAGTGATCTGTCCAGTGTCCTGAGATGTTTGAACCAGTTCTGCTGGGGTGACCTTATTCAGTTGGGACTGTTGTTGTTATGTGCTGTCGAGTCAGCCCTGACTCATAGCGACCCCTCCTTGGGTTTCCCAGGCAGTATCACTACGGAAGTAGGATTGCCCAGCCTTCCTTCCGAGGACTGGCTGGTGGGTTTGAACCGCCAGCCTTCTGGTTAGCAGTCAAGTGCTTTAGCCACTATGCTACCTCATTTGGGACTAGGGTAGACTGATTAGAAACCCCAAAAAAGCCACACTCTTCTCTCTTGGTGACAGCTTTTTCCCTTCTCAGGGTTACTTCGTGACAAGCTGGGCTCCTATGACATGGCATTCTACCTTGCTGGAATCCCTCCCCTGATGGGAGGTGCTGTGCTCTGTTTTATCCCGTGGATCCACAGTAAGAAGCAAAGAGGGATCAATCAAACCACTGGAGGAGAAAAGATGGAGAAAATGTTGGAGAACCAGAACTCTGTGCTGTCAAGCTCATCTGGACTCCTCAAGAGAGAATCTGACTCTGTTATTTAATGTCTTACATACCTGCACCAGACTAGACTTGCTTTCAGAAGTTAAAGCGAGTTTTCCTTTTACAGGAATGCAAATTTCTTATTTTTTTAAATCACATCCTAGGACTAGTACAATAATTGGGAAATAGAATCCTTATTACTACAGAACCCTTTTCAGCCAATGAATTGCTGATACATCCCCAAGTCTGAGGGTAGTGACTCTGATACATGAAAACATGTATGAAAGTCAAATTATATTTAAGTATGAAAATTTGAAGCTATCTCAGTAAAAGGAACTTTCGAAACTGTGAATGCTGTTTAGCTTGTACAAATATTTTTAAATACCTCAAACTATACTGAAAGGGTTGCAATTTGGTTAGTACTGGAAATACCATTTGCTGTCTTCACCTGGTACTTTATCTGGTATCTTTGTTTTAACTTCTGCTATTTGGAAACTTTTTTTTTTTTTAAATTTTACCCTGGATTCTGGGTAATACAGATATGCCTAAACCTCAAGTCCATGTTAAAGTTGCTATTAATAAGCTATTAAATTATTAAGCTATTTTGACTCGCTCCAGTGTAAAGAGACCTTTCTTGGAGCAATGCTAACAATGTATCCAGAATCAGTATGTGAGACGGAAGGTTCCTGTTCCTGAAGGCAGCAGTTCAGAAACCAGGCTCTCTTCCATTTACATTTGGTTTTTGAGTTTGTAGTGTTTTATTCGAGTAGTCAGAAACATCACAAATCTCTGAATTTGTTTAAATTGTAATAATAAAAATAGAATGAGTGAAAGATTCTGGCAATTTTAACTTAGAATTTTTCCGATTTCTGGATTTGTTAGCACTAGGGCCTGATATTTAAACAAAAGCATTATTGGGCATGGTGGCGTAGTGCCAAAGGCACTTGACTGCTAACCAGAAGGCTGGCAGTTCAAACCCACCAGCCACTCCGTGGAAGGAAGGTTGGGCAATCTACTTCCATCGTGATACTGCCTCGGAAACCCAAGGAGGGGCTGCTATGAGTCAGGTCTGACTTGATGGCACATAACAACAACAACAACAACATTCAGTTGTAGTTATAGGCACAAATGGGGGGGACACCTACTTTGTATTCATGAAGAAAATACCCATTTCTGTTAGAAACAGTTGCTTAAATTGGTTTCTGAAATCAATTGGTCTTAAAAGCCCAAAAGTACTCATGAAAAGAAACAACTCGATTTCCAAACTTACTAGTATTTGTTTATATTTATTCATTTATCCTAGTGTGCATACCATTAATATTTCCATTATTGTTTCTGTTTATACAAAAAATCTATTGCAGTCAAGTTGGTTCCGAGTCATAGCGATTCTACAGGACAGAGTGGAATTGTCCCATGGGATTTCCTAGCCTTTTCCTAGTATTGTTTATAGGAGTGGATTGCCTGGTGTTTGCTCCCTCTGAATAACTAGGGGGTTCCAACTTCCGGCATTTCGGCTAGCAGCCGAGTGCTTAACCACTGCACTACCAGGGCTCCTTTTAGAGTTTCAAACCCAAAATTAAAACCAAAGTCATGCCATGACCCATACTCATTTACAAGCAAACACACACTTTATCTTAGTGCATTTTTGTTTTTTTATTTAGGTCATCAAAAGTTAATAATATGCAAATTACATTTAAATTCTAGCTATAGATGGATATCATCAGCTCTTTCTTCAGTGTAGCTTGTTCACCTGGAAAGAATGCTATCTTTTTCTGAAGTACCTATAGGGCCTGCTTCTAAATTCTCTGTGAGAAGAGAACTTTCATCTCTTTTTAGCTCCTCTCGTCTCTGAGAGACATAGTCCTTCCATTCTTCTTTGCCTTTAACTGAGGACGGACACACCTGCGGACCATGTGGATCTGCAATTGTTGGTTTTGAGGGAGGTGTGGTGGGGAGAAGGAGAGAGACGTGAGGCAGTTAATTGAACAGTTAGAAAATCCAGTGACTTTTCCTTTCCATTTCAGCTCTTTCATCAGCCACCTTGAAAGATCAAAGTGTACATGCTAATTGTGGAATTTATTTTTAATAATGGGATTTTAAATTACTTTGGTTGTAAAGCAGTTCAGCAGCTTACTGTGCTATGTACACAGTTGCATCTTGCAAATTCCAATATTTCATATAGAGTAACTATAGAAGGCCCTGTTGTAGGAAAAAAAGGTCTATATTTGGTCCATACTTCCATGCTCTTATTTTAAGCTTTTAGAAAATGATTCAAAAATGATAATGTAAAGATTATCAAATTATTTGTGCCCAGTTATATAAAAATTACTTCCATACTATTATCAGTGCTTCTGAGAAGTCCAGCAAGAACACACAACTAAGGCCAACCATAAAGCTTGCATTTATAAAAGGTTTCATTTCTACAGACTGCTAAAGATCCCAAATTTTACAGAATGAGTAATTTTAAAATGCAAAATTAACTGCAAAGACCTCTAAAACGTTTTTCCTTTCAAAAGTTGATTGATTTTAGAGAAAAAAAAATCTGAAATCCAAAGACTGCATGCTTGATTAGTTTCCTTATTAAAACAGCAAAGTGACTTAAGTGTCATAATAAAATTTAGTTCTCAGCATATTGTGTTTGTGTGTAATATTACATATATGTAGTTTTTAGTCAAGTGGAATGAATCAAACTAGTTCTGTAACACTAAAAAAGAAACCCAAACCAAATCTGTTGCTGTCAAGTTGATTCCTAACTCATAGCAACCCTGTAGGACAGAGTAGAACTGCCCCATAAGGCTTCCAAGGCTATAATCTTTACAGAAGCAGACTGCCACATCTTTCTCCCCTGGAGTGGCTTGTGAGTTTGAACCACTGAACTTCTGGAATAGCCAAGCACTTAACCACTGTGCCACCAGGCCTTCTTATAAAACTAAAAAAGTCCCACAATAATGGACCCCTACAGAGATTACTCTGCTGTAATAATAGAAAGTTTAAATGTATGTATATTATATATGTATATAGAGGTTAGGAGCTCTGCTGGCGTAGTGCCTAAGGCACTTGACTGCTAACCAGAAGGCTGGCGGTTCAAACCCACCAGACATTCCTGGGAAGGAAGATTGGGCAATCTACTTCCATAGTGATACCACCTCGGAAACCCAAGGAGGGGTCACGGTGAGTCAGATCCGACTCTATAGCAGTGAGTTTGATTGGTTTATATAAAGGTTAAGATGCTAAATGCCATAAAATGTGTATTTAGTAATATGAATATGGGTATTCAGTAAGAAAAAACTTCAAGGTCTAAAATATAGAAACCAAGAATATGAAAAATAATTATATTCATAAAGATTTTGTGTTTGTTTTGGACCAAGAAATGCTACCTTAGTGTCTCAGTGAAAACAATCATTTATAATTTCTGAACAGCATGCTCCTGCTTTAGTAAAATGACCTTATGGGTCTACATTTTTGTTTTGTTCAGACAGTTTGCTAAGGGGAAAAGAATAGAGTCAGAGAACTCTGCTTTTTATTTCATAATCCTAATTCAGATAGACTCAGCAAATTCTCAAATTCAGAAGGTTCTGGTGTAAGAAGGAAACTCTGGATCAGATATTGTTATAACATGGCTCAAGGATGTACAAGAAACAGTTGAGTCAAATTCCATAGTAGTGGATATTACTGGGGTCCATTCATTTCAGTAACAGTGTGCCACCAAGATTGTTGATACTTCATTCAAAAATTGTAAATCTCTTTGATCGCAGTTGCAGTGCTTATTACTCTATGGCCCTATTTCAAGACTTGTACTTTCCACTGAGAGTTGCATAGTGCTTGGATCAAGCATCGTATTCTATTCTTAAACAGACACAGGACTTCACTTACATTTCTTGATCCCTATTATTATGTGTTTATACATGTTTGCCATCGATCCCATGGGCTCTGCCCAAGTATGGAGAAGCCGTTAATACTATCAGCTTCAATTTCCCACACCTTTAAAGTAAATGTCGGTTTAGTTGCAAAGTGGAAATTTTTACATTTGGTAAATCTAATGTTTCTTAACTGTACTTAAGAATATTATAGACCACCGTTATTTCTAAAACATCCTCTGTCCCAATGGTTTTTGATATGAAATCAACAGAACATGATGTCCCAGATTAGGAGCTGGGGCTCTCAGGATTGAATTCCTGTTGGTGTCTTTTCAGACCCTGCCGTAGGCCCCATTTTTCTTACTCTTTACCTTTCTTTATCTTTTCCTTTAACTTCTCGCTGTCTTTCAGAAACCTGGTGAAGAGTCCATTAACACTCTGGCTTAGGTCCATTGATTGCTTTGCTACATGACTTACAGTGTGTCTATAGTTTCAGAGGGTAGATTCCCCACCCAGGAAAATAGCCTGCTGCAGTCTTCAACTTAAGAGTTCTAATGGTGTATGTACACATTTTTCCCCTCAAATTTCCTGGTTAAAGTATCTGGGGGAAGTGATAAGTTTTATATAGTTAACATCTTTTGTGCTAACATTTTAAGAAACTTTAATTTTTCTTTAAATGTTTTCAGAGAAAAGACTGCCAAGTTAATGGCATAAGGATTTTCAGAGAGCACATCATGGCAAATGACACGGAATGTGGTAGGCCTCTCGGATGCAGTTGCCAATGAACCTTAGATTGGATTGCATTTTAAAGTGAAATGGTGTTACAGTAAATATAAATGGAAACACATAATCTAATTAGCTTTGATTTTTTCAATGTGTAGACAATTTAAACAAGTATTTAAAACTGTGTAGGAAGTTGCTGGGAGCTCTGGTGGCATAGTGCCTAAGACATTTGACTGCTAACCAGAAGACTGGCAGTTCAAACCCACCAGCCACTCCTCGGAGGGAAGACTGGGCAATCTACTTTTATAGAAATACCACCTCGGAAACCCAAAGAGGGGTCGCTATAAGACTTGAAGTTTCTAACACTAAGAACTTCACAATGTTACTGGTGTAAACATTAAGGCACAATCCTTATATTAGGTTAAAGAATGTTGCTTTTTCTGATGTGTTTCCTAAAAGGGGGAGGGAGTGAAACTATTACT